AATTCAGGATATGTACAAATGCCTAGACTCAAAAAATCGTCAACCAATCCTATCAATGGATTTTCCTCTCCTAGATTTATACATGATAAGATTTTGAACGCTGATCACCTGAGCTTATAACTGGATGAAGAAATGTCTAATGTTACAAACAACTTTCTTTTTTGAACTGTACCTCTAATGGACCTTAGTAACTTAAGGCCTCCCGTAGTTCATTTAACTTGCTGGAAACTCAAGCTGTTATCTGTATTATATTACAAAAGCAGAAATTTTCGATTTTCAAGTTTTCTACGATAGAATTAGCCGAATTTGTGAAAAATTCACTTTGAATATTGCTGTAAAGTTTCTCTTCCGAGATACTGTGTTGCACATAATTTAGTAGCCATCTTAATGTGTACCCAATGCTGTGCCTTTAAAATACTGGTAATCATATTGGTGTTGAAATGTTTTGTTTACACATTTTTCTGAGTCTCTTAAGAGTCAAGTACTTCTCTACACTCTTACAGAGTCTAGCCCTATCATTCCTGGCTTCTCTGGCATCAGCGAGTCTAGTTGCTTCTCTGTTCATCAGAGTCAAGTGATTTCTCCTGTTCCGAAGTCAAGCACAGTTCACTTTTACTTCGCTTCTCTGATGTCGCAGAGTCAAGCTTGTCACAATTAAATGTTCAATAGTTTGCTTATGAGTGAGTAGCCCCTGTTACGCCAAAGAGATCGTCACGCCAAAGAGATCGTTTTTTGTTGCTACAGAAGGCTTCTCGTGCATTATCAATAAACACCTTAACTAGTAGTCAAGTCTTGGGTTGTTTTTTGTATAAACACATTTTTAATGTCACATTCTGGTCAATTCTAGAATATATTTTTCACACATTTACATACTGTAAATCATCTTCGCAAATTTTCATGAGACTCCATTTTTTTTTTTTTTTAAAAGAATCACAATTTTGCGGATAAATACAACTCTATAAATGCAGTACCTATTGTGACGGTTCATGGACACGTGGATTCGTGGATTTAAAGAACCCACAAAATCAACAAAAATATACAGTAACCAACAACTGACGCCCTCATATCTACAGATGTACAGTCTTTTTAAATCTACTTTTGTGAATGAGATGAAAAAAATCAATATCCTCATGGATTTTAAGACTTGCCACTTTGAAACACAGTAATTAAAGCCAAAAAAATGTTTTAACATTGAGTGACACTGTCAGGATCGACCACCAACTATAGGTCTGAATTTCACACCAAGAGAGTATTTTAGACAGAATATTTTTCTCAAAGAGCTCTTGAAATCAATTCACTTTTGTGTATGTAAGTACAAATTAAGACTATTCACTTAAAGAAACAGGCCTGAACAGGCAAGTTTGATATCAATTCTGCAGCACTGGTTACTGACCTCAAATAAATTTAAATCAGTCTGCTTCTGTATAATAGACACAAACTAGCCTGTCTACTCGATCCAATCACTGTGGTTAACCTGAACTCTTTCAGAGATGAACTTTAGCCAAATTATGAAAATAATCATTATAATACATTATATATTAAGACAACTTTTCCTTGTTCTGAGAAATGGTTACATATTTACTGAAATCTTTTTGTACTGTAAACACCTACTGCTGCTACATTTAGACACTAAACAAAGGAGCTCTTTAAAAAAAACAAAGAAAAAGGTCCATTTAATAAGATCTGGCTCATTTGGAAAGTTATAATTGAAAAGTTACACATTTAGAAGCATTTAAGTATTGTTCAGTTAGTTTTTTGTTTTTAGGGCTTTTTAAGACAATTTGTCAATGCATTTTTCCATCAGTATCATCAAGATAATTTCATCTCAACGACACTTGATTTAATATATCAAAACTATAAATATAAAATGTCATGACTGTTGGATTTGCAGTTCTATAAAAGAAGATTTTATGGCAAAGATTCCATTAAATTTGATGTAAATGCCAAAAACTGTACAAAACTGACTCAGCTAATTTCAGATTTATGATCACAGGTTGATATACCCAGATGACCTACCTCTGAAACACAGCAGGGGCCCGTCAGATTAACAGCAGAGCTAAGTGATCTGTCAAAGACTGTCACCACTAGACGTCAACATGTCTCAAACATTCATGCATCAAATCAATATAAGGCCGGTTACAATTTCATCAACAGATTTTCAACATTTTATAAGCAAGCTTAATGTCAAAGAAAGAAGTTTGTCAATATCAGGAAGATATTAATAGGAAAAGTTGTCTGCAGGCACACCTAGCCCAACTTCCTCCACCATCATCAAAACACAGTGAAGCTCAAAATGATATTTATTGACATGGTGATAAATAAATGGTTTAAACAAGCAATGAGTAGATGATATGAACATATAAAATACACCTGTTAAATGATAAATCCGATACAAAGTTTTGCTTTCCAATCTTCTCCAGTAGCAAAAATCACAGTTAGCTCCCTTAAAAATGATGACCTTCACCAGAATGTCAAAAATCTAATTATAAATCAAAAGTTACCATTATTTTTTTTTTCAAATAGAACTTAATTAATTTCGAAAATTATGGAATGATACAAAATTTTTCTACAGGGAGGGAGGGAGAGGCAATAACTTGCATGGACTCGAAGAACGGAACCAGAAAACATTTTTATGGGTAATTTTGGAGCAACTCATATTTTTGTTTATTGCCTGGCATGGGCTTATTTCCAGATGTATACCGTTTAAATTTACCTCTAGGATCAATCAGATTGTCAACATTTGTTGGAATCCATGCAATAAAAGATTTTTTTATGCTTCCCAGAAGCTATTTTAAGTATGCCATTTTATAACTCTATGATAAAAGTACACAAGAGTAGAAGATTGGGGTCATTTCCCAGAAGGTTACATCTTACTTCTGCAGATGTCACCTTAGCAACAAATGTTCATCGTAGAAATGACGATAACATTTTTACATAACAGTACAAAGAATTGACACCATACAATGCCTGACTTCCCATGAATAGACAGAAGGGTCAGCTTTCTAGGTCACAAATATTTTTTCTCTAATATGAAAAAGAAAATGAAAACAAAGGAAGTTGATAAAATTGGAAAATGAGATCTGTTTGTAATGCACCAGTTTGTCCTCATAACCCAAATATTGATTTGACACATATACTGACAAAGTCAAATCTGAGATTTCAAGATTGATTCTATAATCAAAAGTGTACCTGTAGCCTCAGGAAACACAGTTCATTGGGTTGGTTCCAATACCGAGGGAAATTCTTGACTGCTCAAGGCAAGATTCAATGTAACCAGATACAGGTCATCCAAACAAGAGGCCCAAGGGACCTACAATTCACTCATCTGGTATTCAAAGCTTTTCACAAATACCTGGTACATTAGCATTTCACATCATTGCCATTTGTCATAAGGATCTAGATTTCCAGTCAAATCTCATGATTCTTGGCCTTTAGATTAATAAGAAGATGTTTGAATGTTTTAATAAATTTGACCTCTGTGGCCTTGAATATGGGTCAAGGTCATTTCTTTCTATAAACATTTTTATGCTTTATCAGTGAAACTTTCTGAGCAAATATCATAATTCTAGGCTGTTCGGTTTCATCAAAAGTCACTTTATGGTTTAAAAAAAACTTGTGACCTTTAACATGGGTCAAGGTCATTTTCAGGGGCAAAGGTCTTCCTTTGTGTTGATACTTAAATATGTCAAATTTACTGAGTACAATTGTAGTTATCTCCCTGGATTAACAAAATAGAAAATTAATCCTTATATTCAGTTTTTCTTCATTAAATTTGCTAAGCTATATCATAAAAAGTGTCTTAAAATTTGTTTTCATTTTGAATTAAATATCATTTAATTAGTAATGGCACAAAAAAATTAAAAATTTCTAAGACTTGTTTCATAGAATCCAACATAAAATGGATATTCAATTAACATCTATATCCTACATTCTGGATCTTGGAAATTTAAATAACTAAATGACACTTTACACAATATCTGAATCAATAAGCCAGTGATTGATTTAGAAATTGATACATGCAGATTAAAGACAATCATAAGAAAAAGCCATACAAAGTATTGCTGAAACAGAACATGTTTCCTACCAGCCCCAAGAAGCTGTAGCACAGCAATAATTTACAAATTTTCTAAAAATAGTAACATGGACTCAATAATCCTGAAACTCAAACTGTCCATGATAATTTGATGCTTGATAAGTGTGTGAAGATTGGTGAGTATTCCTCAAGGAAGCACAATCAAACTTCACTGAGGCAGAAACATATTGATGGAAAGCGAGGATAACCCCACAAACCAATATTCATTATGAAATCAATGCATTCAGATTTAGTACAGTCTAAAGAAATATATAAATTGTATTCACTCTGAAATCAGCCAAGACGGGGGCCAACAGTAATTATCTGATTTAAAGTTAAACGGGGCCGGATAAATACAGAAGATAAAATTATCTGGTATTATATTGTTTAGTCAGTTTTTTTCAACGGGATGATATTTTTGTTATTACACATTGCAATAACATAATTGAGAAAATTTTCTCTGAAATTATAAGACGCATTTAAGTATTATCTGTAGTATGATAAACTTGTTAGACTTTTATCATATCAGTACTTTCCCTTGTTGACTCTTCAATTATCCACAGACACAGCTGATTGAACAGATGAAATGGACGTGTGAAATAGATTATCTGCTATCATTTATTGTTTATTATTCAAAGCAAATATCATGACAATGTTTGACTAATAAATAAACACTCATTTATTTTGAAGCTGACATTGGGAACAATTTTCACAAAATTTTCTTACATCCTGATCAAGAAAATTTTCATTCGTTTAAATTTTCGGAAAAATACTCTAATTTTAATTTAAAATCATAAAAATTTTGTCCTGCGAAAATAACTGGCTCCACATTATCTAATGATACTGCAATCAGCTAGGATGTATCTATCACAAAACATAATCCTGCTGTCAGATAAATAAATACAGTATGTTTAAGATAGAGACTGACCTGTTTGGTGGGACCAGTGTCCATATCTTCAGTTGCAGTCCAGCTGTTACTAAGGTGATTGTTGCTGGTGAGATAACAGTACTGGTAATGGCTATGATTCTCTCCGTCTCCTCATCATCCAGGGTAGACATGTAGTTACCATCCGGGAGATATCGTACTGTTAAAAAAAATCCATTCTATTTACCATCCGGGAGATACCGTACTTTTAAAAACAATCCATTCTATTTACCATCAGGGAGATATCGTACTGTTAAAAACAATCCATTCTATTTACCATCAGGGAGATATCGTACTGTTAAAAACAATCCATTCCATTTACCATCAGGGAGATATGGTACTGTTAAAAACAATCCATTCTATTTACCATCAGGGAGATACCGTACTTTTAAAAACAATCCATTCTATTTACCGTCAGGGAGATATCGTACTGTTAAAAACAATCCATTCTATTTACCATCAGGGAGATATCGTACTGTTAAAAAGAATCCATTCTATTTACCATCAGGGAGATATTGTACTGTTAAAAATAATCCATTATATTTAACATCCGGGAGATATCGTACTGTTCAAAACAATCCATTCTATTTACCATCAGGGAGATATCGTACTGTTAAAAACAATCCATTCTATTTAGCATCTGGGAGATATTGTACTGTTTAAAACAATCCATTCTATTTACAATCAAGGAGATATCGTAATGTTTAAAAATAATCCATTCTATTTAACATCCGGGAGATATCGTACTGTTAAAAACAATCCATTCAATTTAACATCCAGAAGATATCTTATTGTTAAAAACAATCCATTCTATTTACCATCAGGGAGATATTGTACTGTTAAAAACAATCCATTCTATTTACAATCAAGGAGATAGCGTAATGTTTAAAAACAATCCATTCTATTTACCATCAGGGAGATATCGTACTGTTAAAAACAATCCATTCTATTTACCATCAGGGAGATATCGTAATGTTAAAAACAATGCATTCTATTTACCATCCGGGAGATATCGTAATGTTTAAAAACAATCCATTCTATTTAACATCCGGGAGATATCGTACTGTTAAAAACAATCCATTCTATTTACCATCCGGGAGATATTGTACTGTTAAAAACAATCCATTCTATTTACCATCAGGGAGATATTGTACTGTTATAAACAATCCCTTCTATTTAACATCCGAGAGATATCGTACTGTTAAAAACAATCCATTCTATTTAACATCCGGGAGATATCGTACTGTTAAAAACAATTCATTATATTTAACATCCGGGAGATATCGTACTGTTAAAAACAATCCATTCTATTTAACATCCGGGAGATATCGTACTGTTAAAAACAATTCATTATATTTACCATCCAGGAGTCATCATACTGTTGAAAACAATCCATTCTATTTAGCATCTGGGAGATATTGTACTGTTTAAAACAATCCATTCTATTTACCATCAGGGAGATATCGTACTGTTAAAAACAATCCATTCTATTTAGCATCTGGGAGATATTGTACTGTTTAAAACAATCCATTCTATTTACAATCAAGGAGATGTCATATTGTTAAAAACAATCCATTTTATTTAACATCCGGGAGATATCGTACTGTTAAAAACAATCCATTCTATTTACCATCAGGGAGATATCGTACTGTTAAAAACAATCCATTCTATTTACCATCAGGGAGATATTGTACTGTTAGAAACAATCCATTCTATTTACCATCAGGGAGATATTGTACTGTTAAAAACAATCCATTCTATTTACAATCAAGGAGATATCGTAATGTTTAAAAACAATCCCTTCTATTTAACATCCAGGAGATATCGTACTGTTAAAAACAATCCATTCTATTTAGCATTTGGGAGATATTGTACTGTTTAAAACAATCCATTCTATTTACCATCCAGGAGATATCGTACTGTTAAAAACAATCCATTCTATTTAGCATCTGGGAGATATTGTACTGTTTAAAACAATCCATTCTATTTACAATCAAGGAGATATCGTAATGTTTAAAAATAATCCATTCTATTTAACATCCGGGAGATATCGTACTGTTAAAAATAATCCATTCTATTTAACATCCAGGAGATATCGTACTGTTAAAAACAATCCATTTTATTTAACATCCGGAAGATATTGTACTGTTAAAAACAATCCATTCTATTTACCATCAGGGAGATATTGTACTGTTAAAAACAATCCATTCTATTTACAATCAAGGAGATAGCGTAATGTTTAAAAACAATCCATTCTATTTAACATCCGGGAGATATCGTACTGTTAAAAACAATCCATTCTATTTAACATTCAGGAGATATTGTACTGTTAAAAACAATCCATTCTATTTAGCATCTGGGAGATATCGTACTGTTAAAAACAATCCATTCTATTTACCATCTGGGAGATATTGTTCTGTTAAAAACAATCCATTCTATTTACCATCAGGGAGATATTGTACTGTTAAAAACAATCCATTCTATTTGCAATCAAGGAGATATTGTACTGTTTAAAACAATCCGTTCTATTTACAATCAAGGAGATATCATAATGTTTAAAAATAATCCATTCTATTTAACATCCGGGAGATATCGTACTGTTAAAAACAATCAATTCTATTTAGCATCAGGGAGATATTGTAATGTTTAAAAACAATCCATTCTATTTACAATCAAGGAGATATCGTACTGTTAAAAACAATCCATTCTATTTAGCATCAGGGAGATATTGTAATGTTTAAAAGCAATCCATTCTATTTACCATCAGGGAGATATTATAATGTTTAAAAACAATCCAATCTATTTAACATCCGGGAGATATTGTAATGTTTAAAAACAATCCATTCTATTTAACATCCGGGAGATACCGTACTTTTAAAAACAATCCATTCTATTTACCATCCGGGAGATATCGTACTGTTAAAAACAATCCATTCTATTTAGCATCTGGGAGATATTGTACTGTTTAAAACAATCCATTCTATTTACCATCAGGGAGATATTGTACTGTAAAAAACAATCCATTCTATTTACCATCCGGGAGATATCGTACTGTTAAAAACAATCCATTCTATTTAGCATCTGGGAGATATTGTACTGTTTAAAACAATCCATTCTATTTACCATCAGGGAGATATTGTACTGTTAAAAACAATCCATTCTATTTACCATCCGAGAGATATCGTACTGTTAAAAACAATCCCTTCTATTTACCATCCGGGAGATATCGTAATGTTTAAAAATAATCCATTCTATTTGCAATCAAGGAGATATTGTACTGTTTAAAACAATCCGTTCTATTTACAATCAAGGAGATATCGTAATGTTAAAAACAATCCATTCTATTTGAAATCAAGGAGATATTGTACTGTTTAAAACAATCCGTTCTATTTACAATCAAGGAGATATCGTACTGTTTAAAACAATCCATTCTATTTACCATCAGGAGATATCGTACTGTTAAAAACAATCCATTGTATTTACTATATCAGAAATATCGTATTTTTAACAAGAGGCCCATGGGCCTTAACGGTCATCTGACAAAAAGCAAGCCAAACCTAGAAAGTGGGTTGAGGTCATTCATTTGAACAAACTTGGTAGCCTCTCCTCCAAGCATCTTACAGGCCCAATATCAGCACTCATGGACTTTTGCTTGTTGAGAAGAAGTCGTTTGTATATTTTAACATATTTGACCCCTGTGACCTTGAAAGTGGGTTGAGGTCATTCATTTGAATAAACTTGGTAGCCTTTCCTCCCAGCATGCTACAGACCCAATATCGGCACTCATAGACTTTTGCTTATTGAGATGAAGTCCTTTGTATATTTTAACATATTTGACCCCTGTGACCTTGAAAGTGGGCCAAGGTCATTCATTTGAACAAACTTTGTACGGCTCCATGCCAGCATGATATGGGCCAAGTATTAGCCCCCTAGGCCTTCTAGTATTTGAGAAGAAGTTATTTAAAGATTTTGACATATTTGACCCCTGCGACCTTGAAAGTTGTTCAAGGTCATTCATTTAAATAAACTTGGTAACCTTTCCTCCCAGCATGCTACAGACCCAATATCGGCACTCATAGACTTTTGCTTATTGAGATGAAGACCTTTGTATATTTTAACATATTTGACCCCTGTGACCTTGAATGTAGGCCAAGGTCATTCATTTGAACAAACTTTGTAGGGCTCTATGCCAGCATGCTATGGGCCAAGTATTAGCCCCCTAGGCCTTCTAGTATTTGAGAAGAAGTTATTTAAAGAATTTGACATATTTGACCCCTGTGACCTTGAAAGTTGTTCAAGGTCATTCATTTACACAAACTTGATAGCCCTTCATCCCAGCATGCCACAAGCACAATATCAGCAATCTGAGCCTTTTGGTTATTGAGAAGAAGTTGTTTAAAGATTTTAACATATTTGACCCCTGTGACCTTTAAAGTGGTTCAAGGTCATTCATTTGAACAAACTTGGTAGTCCTTCATCCCAGCATGTCACAGGCCCAATATCTACACTCTGAGCCTTTTGGTTAATGAGAAGAAGTTGTTTAAAGATTTTAACATATTTGACCCCTGTGACCTTGAAAGTGGGTTGAGGTCATTCATTTGAATAAACTTGGTAGCCTTTCCTCCCAGCATGCTACAGACCCAATATCGGCACTCATAGACTTTTGCTTATTGAGATGAAGTCCTTTGTATATTTTAACATATTTGACCCCTGTGACCTTGAAAGTGGGCCTAGGTCATTCATTTGAACAAACTTTGTAGGGCTCCATGCCAGCATGCTATGGGCCAAGTATTAGCCCCCTAGGCCTTCTAGTATTTGAGAAGAAGTTATTTAAAGATTTTGACATATTTGACCCCTGCGACCTTGAAAGTTGTTCAAGGTCATTCATTTAAACAAACTTGATAGCCCTTCATCCCAGCATGCCACAGGCACAATATCAGCAATCTGAGCCTTTTGGTTATTGAGAAGAAGTTGTTTAAAGATTTTAACATATTTGACCCCTGTGACCTTTAAAGTGGTTCAAGGTCATTCATTTGAACAAACTTGGTAGTCCTTCATCCCAGCATGTCACAGGCCCAATATCTACACTCTGAGCCTTTTGGTTAATGAGAAGAAGTTGTTTAAAGATTTTAACATATTTGACCCCTGTGACCTTTAAAG